CTAAATATAAACATGTTTTTCAAAGCACAAATATTAATTTGTAAAATCACTTCTACGGTAGTTAATATTTCTTTCTTTCTTCTTTTTTTGTTTTGCATTTTCTCCTTATAAGGAAAAATATGAAGTAAAAACTTTCGCAGGATATCAAATCAAACAAATAAACAAATCTGACCAAACCAGGTACTGTCCTTCAGCAGTGAGTTCCAACAGAAGCAAAAGTGGACATTTCACGGCGTATGGTACTGAAAGGCGAGAGTTCCAGTTCTGTGGTGTACTCGTTGTCATTGTCATCACTGGTCACTGTGGAAGACTTCTGAATGCATTCCTCACAGCAACAGCAGCAGCACTCCATAAAGGCCCGGCTGAAGGGTTTGCAGAGACAGAAAAGGAGGACGGGGGTGACGCAAGACTTAAAGAACAAAAGGAACTGGCTGATGATATTAAGGAGGTCCATTGTCTGCTGCGAAACCCCTGTAGCCATGTAGGCAGTGACAATATTGCAGATATTTTCAGGAATAATGCAAAATCCATACAAAATGGTCAGTGCCACTACTGTACAGTTCATCTGGCTTTCTAGTTGAATCTGCCGCTTATTCCCTCGGGTACAGGCTTTCTCTGCTTTGCGGATTTTCCTGGCGGTCACTAAAGAGCACGTGATGGTGAAAAGCGTGGGCAAACAAAAGTAACAGCCAAAATACCACCAGAGTCTCGCACTGTCGTAGGTAAGAGCTAAAACATAGATGGTGTCCGGTAAGTCGGGAGAGATCTTTATAATGCACCTCTCGGCAGGAGCTCGGCCACTAAACCCCAAGTCCTCCCTGCTCAGCTGGCGGAGAACAACTTCTGGAAGTGCCAGCAGTAGAGCTCCGACCCATATCACAGCCAGTTTGGCGGTTGTCGAGGAACAGTTTTCGATCATTTCATAGTACATCTGTACGTTGGTGGCGGCGCGGAAGCGGTCTATGCACAGAGCACATAAGGTGAAGGTGGTGACTCCGAGAGAAGCGACCTGTGGGGGGACACAGAATACGTTTATTCTGGGCGTTCTCTGAAAGATCAAACCAAGACTGGTAACACAGTAAGAAGAGAGAGAGAGAGAGAGAGAAAATGAGGCACGGGTAACTGGGTTCAGGACTTCAGCTGAATCATTGTTAAGCATAAAAATAGAAAACAAATTGTAGCTGTTCAGCTGTCCAGGGGTCATCCGAGCGAAGAAATTTTAGAAATGGAAGGAGCCATAAAGACCAGCTATTCCAATACCATTTTATTATAGGTAAGAACCCAGAGACCCTAAAAATTTCAATCACCATAAAAATGCCTGCCACTAGAAGACCCAGATAAGGAGTAGGTGTCATGGAGAGTATCCCATTTCACTGCTGATGAGGATGGTCAGGGTCAGTAGTGTGCCTTACACACAGCAGCCCTTTAGAGCTTCTTGTTTCCAGTAGAGTAGATGATTGGAGAGCTCTTCTAATTTCTCCTAAGTGCAAAATAAAGTATTTTAACATTCTTTTGAAAGGCATACACTTATGGAAAACAAGAAAGGGAAATCCTCCAGAGGCCAATACCAAAGAGAAAACAAATTCTAAACAGGTCAGTGATTCCTCCCTGCCCGTGCTGTATGTTTGCCCTAGGGGCATCTGCCACTCCTGATGAGGTTTGATGTTATTAATAGTTTTAGCCAGAAAGATGGGGCCAGGTACCCAGGTACATGGAGGTAGGAGACGAAGCTGGGGCCGATGTGGGTGGAGATTAGGTCAAAGACGCCCATACGAATTCGGAACTCTCCATATACTGACGTCTTTAGAGGTATAAAGAGAAAGAATAGGGGGAAACAAGGGAGAAGCTAGCCTGCCTGACAGGATTTGGGTCTGGGTGAGTTAGGGAAGAGGAGAAAAGGAAATGGCAAATTCTAACCAGGTGTGCAAACCTGCATGGTATGAGGGCCAGAATTCACTCCATGTATGTGGCTCGGAAAAACCAAAACGCAATTTAAAATGGTCCCAGGAACACTTACACACTGTTGGTGGGAATGTAAATTAGTACAACCTCTATGGAAAACAATATGGAGAGTCTTTCCTCAAAGAACTAAAAGTAGATATACCATTCAATCCAGCAAGCCCATTACTGGGGATCTATCCAAAGTAAAGGCAATCATTATACCAAAAAGACACTTGCGCTTGTATGTTCATGACAGCACAATTCACAATTGCAAGGATATGGAATCAGCATAAGTGCCCATCAACCAAGGAGTGGATAAAGAAAAGAAAATGTGGTACATACACACACACACACACACACACACACACACACGCACGCACACCATGGAATACTATTGAGTCATAAAAATGAATGAAATTATGTCTTTTGTAGCAGCTTGGATGGAACTGGAGGCATTATACTAAGTGAAATAACACAGGAATGGAAAACCAAATACATTTTCTCACTTATAAGTGGGAGCTAAGCTACAGGTATGCAGGAGCATTCAGAGTGGTGTAATAGACATTGAAGACTCAGACGTGGGGAGGATTGGAGGAGGGTGAGGGAAGAAAAACTACCTATTGGGTACAATGTATACTATTTGGGTGATGAGTACACTAAAAACCCAGACATCACCACCATACAATTCATCCATATAACCAAAAACCACTTGTACCCCTAAATCTATCAAAATAAAAATCATATAATAATAATATAATAATAATAAAATATAATAATCATATAATGATAAAATCATCCCAGGCAGGTGGTAGAAGCAAACCTTAATCCTCTCTGGAATAATGGACTTTAAAACCAGCCCCCAGAGAAATCCCACAGATAAAATTCAAGGGAACATGTATTCACAAAAGCAAAAATCACAATATGCAAGAGATAACCAGCCACTATGAGCTTATGTGCCAAAACAACAACAACAAAAAAGGACCAAGTTACAGAATCAGACCTAACATAAGTACATATATCATGAAATAAGAATGTTTATCAAATTTAAAGAGAAAGAATGTCTAGATAGCCCAACCATAGACAATTTCAGATCAGAAAACTATTTGAAAATGACCACAGGGAATATTGTATATGAAAAAGGCACTGCTCTTATATACATATGGTCAGACATCTAAAAAAATCGATAAAGATTAAGAACCAAAAATATGTACCCATTTTGTCCACACCGAGGCTTTTCTACAATAATAAACACATGTTCCTAATGCAAACATGCCAGCATTCATTTATCTATAACATATTTACTGAGCATCATACACATACTCTAAAGGGACACACAGATACATATCGAACACAAGCACACAAATACTTACATCAACTCTATGCCAAGCACCACACTTGACATTGGGGATATGGAAAGATACAAGAAGCAGTCCTTTCCCTCAAGTAGATCATAGTCAACCCAGAGGAGGACGATGGTTCTCAAAGTCACAAGAAAAACACAGCAATCACCCAGGAGTATCAAATTTACTTAAATATTTTGGGGGAAATTTAAGTAATTTAATGTTTAATAAATGTAGTCATTATATATTTAAACAAAAACAATTAATAGAAGGTAAAATGTTAATGAGGTTTCAGACAAAACATGAGACTCAAAGAATATGCCCAAAGTGGATGGAATGCTTTGGGCTGTGTTCCAGACACCTGGGTATATGGTATATGCATTCACTCTCCCCTGCCTGCTGGTGGGGAGGTTTAAGAAGCATAGTTATAGGTCATGCCTTGGCAAAGGGAAAAAATAAGTATAATGTTAATATCTAATTTTTTTAAACTCAAGAGCTCATGTTGAAAAAAGGAAAACCATTTGTCACACAATTTTTGTACTCAGAACATTAGTTGTTTGTCTACTACATTCAAGCTGTCACCCTCCCTGGAACTATGGCAACTTGCCTTACAGAGTTTGAGAGTTCCAATGGCAAATATTCTCTACTCTTCTTACATGCTATGCATCGGATAGTGTCCACTAGTTCTAAGATGGAAAATAATAACAATGCATCCATGCCCTGACCACTCTCATGGCTATTATTAGAGATAGTGTGAAAATGAAGTATAATGAGGGTTCACTATATGAAAAGCAAAAATGAAGAAAAAATATGACTAACAAAGCTCTACATCGGCGCAGATAAAGAGGTCATGATTGGGCTTACAACCACAATTCTTGTTCTCCAAATTGTTCAGAAAATCTCTCATAAATACCCATACAAGAAACATCAATCTAATATGACTACCAAAAACACACACAAAAAAAGCCACCTCTACGTGGCCTTTTAAAAGTTAACTTACAAATTAATAAGTTGCTCACACTGATGGAAATGTGTTTTACATCTATGCTGGAGGCACAAAATAAATATAAAATTGAGGTCCACATTGTGCAACTGCCTTATGATCATATAGTTTTTAATGTCAGTAACTGCCACTCTTGGGGAAATCTGAGAAGGGCTGGTCATTTTCTAAAGGTACACATCAAATAGTGCCATGTGGAAATTGAAGTACTTTATTTTATAGATTTTTGAAACTTTACATTTGTATATACGTTTTTCAAATGTTTTGATTCATTTCTCTTAAGAATGTAAAACAAAAAATTTCTCAAGCTATCAGATGCACATAAATCCTCAGCAAGTCTTTGTGTGTCATCGTGACTGAGGCAAATCTTTGTGCGTGTTCCCCTGTTACTATATATCCTGAGTCAGTTCACAAATACAAAGCCACAAAGGTTTTATGCTATGCATTCTTTTGAAATTGCGAATAGCATTTCTATTAAAGGAAAGCTCAGTAATATAAAAATACCGAAGACCGAGGAGAGGCAATCTGTTAGAAGCTCAGAACATCTATTTGCTTGGCAGTTTTCTATCATTACTTACAAAGAACACAATGCATAAAGGAGAGCATCTTCTCCTCTATTAATCTCCCTAATTTTAAATCTAGAGATTTAAAAAATCTGGACCAATTCTCACAAGTGCTAGCATTTGCATACCTAACTCCAAGCCGGTTACAAAGCCTCTTGCGTGAGAGGTAACAGCAAATGCATGTGGGTGGACGTGTATTAAGAGTAAGATGGGTGGGTTAGATTGCCAACTCCTTAGATATCAAAATCTGTGCTGCACATCCACTCTTAATTAAAAGATGTTCATTGCCTCAAAAAGCAAGACAATGTTTTTTCAGGTTCTATAAGATTTCATCTCACAAGATAACAAAAGCCGGGACAAATGTTGAGCAAGATTTGCATGTATTCCAACTTTTTACTCAGGAATAGGAATTCTTCTACTGTCCATTTTATGCGAAGATGCTCAATTTTTCAGTCATATTTCCAAAAGCCCTTAGCACCGAGTCATAACCTCAAACATACATGATCTGTAGTCATCTTGACAAATCATGGAGGGTCCTCCCCAGTTTTCATACACAAATTTCAGAAAGCTCCAGTATTTCAGCCTCCTGTTTTCAAACTGGACTTCTTTCTAATAGCAGTCTCTGAAGTTAGGATCCAGCTAACATGGGGTAAAAAGTCCAGAAAGGTCGTAAGAGCAACAGAGGGAGTTGCTGAAGGAACCAATGAGGAAAGTAGCAGCACTGCCCCAAATGCAGATAGTGCTCGTAATGCAGTTGCTGCCAAATGCCAATCCTAGACATACTCTCTCCTGCTGCCACTGCCTGCAGGGATATTACTTCAGACATTTTTCTTTAAATTCAATTATGCACTAAAATTTATGATGTGAAAGAGCAAGAAATGTACAAAAGCCCTGCCCAGTACTTTCCCAACTTATTTAAAGAAGACTTTAAACATGTGTAAAGAATTAACTGCACGCCTCAGAAATTAATTGATGAAAATCATCTGAATAATGGGTGGTGACCTAATTTCTGCTTACCCAAACATGAAATCTATCCATGTAATTATGATTCCTAGATGTTGGAGCAACATGAAAAGATTTCCATCACAATTTTTAAATATACTTGTTTACGTACAGCTTATTAAAAATTCTACCAAGATGAATAGTGCAATTATGTGCAATTATA